GAAATATTTAAGCACAAAAGAAAAAAGAAATCATTTGCAACAATTTAAATGTGTAAAATGCTAGATGCATTTATCTACAAATAGCAACTTGAAATTATAATATATGTTGCAAATGAGTGCATGAGAAAATGTCTAAGAAGGACACATTTTTCCCATGAAAGGCTTAATAAACGAATGTCCTCGAAGGACAAATTTAACATTGTGATTGCATCGTGAATCCCTAAATGGGTGAAAAATGATTATGGTACACAGCTAACCAATTATACTTTATACATATAAGAGGGGGAGATATATATGTTGGTTCGAATGATTAACACCCTTATAAGTGGTGTGAATACCGTTCAATTAAAGTCTACTAGCGCTAGTAGCATCATACTCTCATTATATTACATATCTCATTCATGAAAGGATTCGTCTTAAAGACGATGTTGGGGGACGCCTCAACCAATATCCATTACTATGATATGAGAATACTTGCCTGTTATGGTGGCATAATGAAATTCATATTTGGATGAGAAAATCATTGATGATTATATGGTAGCTACCGAGATCATTTTAAATCGAACCAGTATGAGCCAATAAAGAGTTGATTGGCAAATAAATTATGGTTAGCGTTGCTCTCTAAGTGAATAGAGAGGCATTTGAGACTATTAGTTCTCAATTTTGTTGTTGTACCGATATAAGATCTTAAAGAATTGAAAATTCTTTTCGAATGAATATTCATGTACCAAATTAAATTTGTTAATATTGAGTTTGAAAATAAAGTGGACAAATAGTCCTCAATACTCCCCACATTGTTAAACTCAAAAGCGCGCGTTTTGTCCATGTAGGACATTTTATTGAAATAAATAATGAGCTCAAGCATATAAAGTATTATGAAAACTTTATTGATGCAATATAGAAAATTCTCTATAAGAGAAAAATACATGGTACATGAAAATATATGGATCTCAAGAAGAGATCGTACCCACAAATGCTACAATCCCCATTTATATGAATATAATTCTCTAAGGAGAATCCGGTACCGGAAAGTGAAATAATTGATTATGAAGAAATATGGGGAGTACTAAAGATGTTATCGAATAACTATATGTACAATTATTTTTATAATGTGAAGAGCTTGAAGCTCATACATTTTGATAGATGTCGACACCTAATTGGTCATTAGTATATGCATTCACAAATGCAATTGACCATGATTATTTGAAATTATTGATCAAATGAATTGTACATTGACTTGCGGTCATCACACATAAAGTTGTGAAAGCCTTTAGTACAAAAGTGGGTAAAATCATTGCGGTAAATTTGAATGCCTTTGAAAATATATTTTTATGATGCAATCACTTTATGATGGTATTCAAAATTATTTGGCATGCACCATATGGATGCAAATTACCGCATATTTATATGGATCATAACTTGTTATTTCAAAGAATTGAAAATGCTTGAAGCATATAATAAGAGGTCTCATGAGTTAGACCCTACGAATGATCCATTTACATATTGAAGAATACGGTATTGTCACCTTAGTGAATACCTTGTTTACAAAAGGAATAATCAAATAAATTGATTCCTATTATCATTTGGGGCGAATTAAATCTTGTGGAGACTCATGAAGAGCTCACAAAGATCATCAATTATTTGATGAAAGAATTCGAAATGAAAATATCTTGGGAGGATATATATTTTGCATTGATCTGCAGATCGAGCATTTGTCGAATGAAATATTTATCCATTATTTGTTTATATACATGATAAAGCTCATTCATTGAGTAAACATATGATTGTCCGATCTTTGGACATAAGAAATATATTCCCATCCTTCCTCGAGAAGATAATGAAGATCGTGGTTCTAATATATGACGATAATAATGTCTGATTGCACCAACGAGATTTTGGCTATATCAAAGGAGGTGGCCGACGAATTATTGAAGATTTGTAAAGTACTCGAGAGTTAAAGAAGAAAGATGACATGACAGTTATTGATGACAATCAAATAACGGAGTTTGCAAATCCATACGTCAACGATCTTACTCCAATGTCTCATGCTGAAATCAGGGGGAGCATGAACTACAACATTGAAATGTGTCGGCTTAACGATCTATTGCCAGCATCAGGGGGAGTGTGATTAATAACCCAACACTGTACTCTTTTTCCTTCGATCAAGTTTTTATCCCAATGGGTTTTTCTTGGCAAGGTTTTAACGAGGCAGTGTATCACACTTTCAATAGTCATAGACATCCAAGGGGGAGTATTATGTAACCTATGGTGGATGTCTATGGGAGTTACAAAATCATTAGTGTGTGTAATTAGAGGTGATAATGGTGGATGTTAAGGCTATTCATTCCCTTGTAACTCATGACCTTTTGAATGGTCTTCTTGTACTATAAAAGGGACACCATTGTATGGATTTGATATACACTTGAATAAGAATACAATACATACACACACTTGTTCTCTTCTTGTTTTTCTCTTGTTTTAAAACAATTTTCAATTAATTTGGTATTTTCATTTTCCATTTAAGAATCGTGTTAGATATGAGGAATTATTTGATTAAACCCCTCATATGCATTCTCTCAGTAGACCTGATCTTTTTTTTTTTCCTCCATTTTTGAGATAAATCCAATTGTATTTTATTCAGCAAATTATATTAATAATAACCTATTTTACCTTTTCACAATTTCTTTAATATAATTACGTCTTTTCTACGACCGTCTCTCTCATTTCTCTTCTCTCTCTCCCTTTCACCACAACCCACGCTCACCACATCCACACCCACGCCCACCTGCCCCCTCCCCTCGCCTCCCTTACCAACCCCAAAACAAGACAAGGCGCTTGGGCTCTTCTTCCGATCCACTTCGCCAGCCAACGGTTTGCTAGAGTCAACATGCCCATCCACGTCAAGAGCACGCCTCACAGATTGCTGAGATTCTCGCATTGTCGAAAGCACTCTTTTTACATTCATTTTTTATCAAAATATTAAAAGCTTCTAAATTTGGAAATACACCCATTGTGCAAAAATGCTCAAAGAAAAGTTCGGCTTTTATCAAGTTTATTCGAAACGACGAACGCATTCAGCAAACAATTATAAGACCTCACCCCGGGTTCATAGTAAAAAACCTCCTTCATTTTCTAGAAAACTTCCATTACTCTCTTCCCCATTAGATTTCGCGAATAAATTTTCAAAACTGATAGTGCTGTGTCTTCGTAGCAAGAGCCTTGATGTACACGAATGAGGTCAACGATGCGAGAGATGTGCTTGAGGAGTCTGGGGTCGGCGGAGACACAGAGGCGGCGGAGGATGTGGTGGAAGACCGCCGCAAAGTGGATTTCATTAATTAAATAGTGGTTTTCGTTAATTGATAATATTTTAGTGAATTTTTGTAATGAAATTTGTTAATTACATAGTGATTTTGGTTAATCACGTAGTAATTTTCATTAATTATAGAGTTGTTTTCGTTAATTGATAAATTTTTAGTGAATTTTTATAATAAAATTTGTTAATTACATAGTGATTTTCGTTACAGAGTGATTTTCATTAATTATAGAATGGTTTTTGTTAATTGATACGTTTTTAGTGAATTTTTATAACGGAATTTGCTAATTACATAGTGATTTCCGTTAATTTACATAGTGATTTTTGTTAATTACATAGAGATTTTCGATAAGTTTATAATGGATTTTCGTAACGGAATACTATAATTACATAGTGGTTTTTGGTAAATTTATAGAGGATTTCAATTTATTAACAATAATTGTTTTTTTAATTTAACTTTAAAAAACAGAAGTATAAAAAATAAAAAACCAAAATTAAAATAGTGAAAAATAAACTTTTTTAAAAACAAAATTAAAATTTTCTTATGAAGAAATCGAAAATAAGAAAAAAAAAATAAAAATGAGATTTTTAGAATTGATTTGGGAGCATTATTTTCGGCATAAATGTGAAGCGTGATTTGGGGGTATAATATTTGGAGAATATTTGGGTGTAAATTATGGGAATAAACTTATCTTATATCTTATATATAAAAGAAAGAAACGTTGGGCAACCCTAAAAAACCCTAATGGTATTTCTGTAATTATTTATTTTTAATATTTTTTCTCTACTAATTTCTAACTATAATTTTAACAATTATCAATCTCTAATTTTTCATCAATATATATATCTCATATCTTAAGTGGTAAAGATTTACGATTTTTTAACTCTTAATCTTTATATTTGGATCATAAATCTTAATATGTAAGATTTAAAAAAATCAATATTATATAAAATATGAATAATACTACACTATTAAATTTTACTATTTTAGTGTGTACGATATTTTCTTATTATGTATTAAATTGATTATATTTTTTTCACTTTTGAAATAATATCCCGTGCATCGCACGGGAAAAAAAATGCTATTTTTTTTAATTTGAATAATTAATAATTAGTGGGGACATATATGTTTTTTCAGGTCCATAGGTTTTTTAATATTTCACTAAATTACTTGAATTTTGTTAGTCTCGACTGTATTAATATATAGAGATATAAGTGTATATTAGATATTTGTTTTATTGTTCCAACCTGACCAGTATAAGGCCCATAGATTTATTGCCATCAATTTGGGCCGTAAGAAAGCATAATTAAAAAATAAAAAACAAAGTGGGACCAAAATTAAATGGATCTTTAATTTTATGTACATTCAACTCAAGTCATTTTATATTAATTTTATTTAATTTTATTTAATTACATATTTCCCCATCATAAACAAAATTTGACGTGGAGAATTGTTGACCGGCTGTTACTCTGTATATTACCAGCCATTCAATCTTATTTGAAAATGATATCTGCCTGCATTTGATATTAATTTCGTTTGCATCTTGTTTATAATGATAATAATAGTGTTGAATAATGATCATTTAATTAAAAAAAACAATTATTAAAACAAAAAAAATATTTATTTTCAATTAAGTAGGTATTTTCATTTTCCATTTAAAAATCGTGGTAGATACTAGATAGTAGTATTCTGTTAGGATCGTATATCCAAAAGAATCAAATCCATGATGTCATCCAACAATATTCAAATCTAAATGGGTGTTGTTTTGATATTTTAAGAAAGTTATGGGGCTTAAAATGCGAATAACGAAAAGTTCCAAACCTCACCGCCTTTATTATATATATAGAATATAAATAAACGATAGTAACAAATAGCGCATGAAATTCGCCTCACTCACGTACCACACATAACAACTTCACACACACAAACACACATGCGTGCGTGTGTGTGAAACTGAGAAGAATACCAGTGTAGACTCAAACAGTCGTCACCCTATTTTTTTCTCTCCGGCGGTTGTTTCCGGTCATTTTATTTAGATGGAGGCGCCGCTTATCGACCGCCGCAGCTCCGGCGATCTGATCGGAGACGACGGGGATTACCTTCCGGTGAGTGGCGTGAGAGAATGGTGGAGAGTTTTCTGCATAGAAACAGTCAAGCTTTGGAGTATAGGTGGACCAATTGCATTCCAGATTCTCTGTCAGTTCGGAACTAACTCCGTCACCACCATGTTCGTCGGACACCTCGGTGATATTGAACTATCTGCCTTCTCCATCGCTGTTTCCGTTATCGGCACGTTCTCCTTCGGATTTATGGTCAGTGATTCCTCGTTTATCGCTTAATTACTCTGCTATGAATTAGGGGAAAAGTGAATGTTAGGGCTAATCAAATTATTTTGAAATTCTTCACCGAAATACTTCATTTTGTAGCTATAAGAAAACAATTAAATCCGTTCATCGTATAAATGCTTATTTTTGTTTGAATATCTTCTGTTTAACACTGCATAGCAATCGCAAAGATCGAATTTTCATCCCTAAATTACTTACTGTCAAGAGTAATTGTGAATTAATTAAATTTGATAAATTAATTAATTGGTTCAGGAGAAGAGGTTAATTAAATTGATCGATGCTACTTTCAGATTTCCAATTATAATGATAAAAAATGTGAATAATTTCTGTAGCTCGGCATGGGTAGTGCCCTAGAAACACTATGCGGGCAGGCATTCGGTGCAGGTCAAGTCCACATGCTAGGAGTCTATATGCAACGGTCCATCATAATCCTCTTCGTGACCTGCATCCTCCTTCTGCCGCTGTACATATTCGCCACACCAGTTCTCCTCCTCCTCGGCCAAGAAGCTGACATCGCGAATCCGGCCGGAGTGTACACACTCCTAATCGTTCCTCAGCTATTCTCACTCGCCGTCACATTCCCATCGCAGAAGTTCTTGCAGGCGCAGAGCAAAGTCTCTGTTCTTGCCTGGATTGCTTTTCTCGCTCTAGCTTCGCAGGTTGTTCTGTGCTGGCTCTTTGTGAACGTACTCGGCTGGGGAGGCTTTGGAGCAGCATTGGCTTTCGATCTCACCAGTTGGGCCACTGCGATTGCGCAGTTTGTTTATGTTGTCGGGTGGTGTAAGGATGGGTGGAAGGGGTTCTCGTGCACTGCGTTTCACGAGATTTGGTCCTTTGTGAGGCTTTCACTTGCTTCTGCTGTGATGCTCTGTTTGGAGATTTGGTACATGATGAGCATTATTGTTCTAACTGGGCATCTCGATAATGCTGTGACTGCTGTCGGTTCTCTTTCTATATGGTGAGTTTTCAGAACTCTTCATCAACATATAGATCGATAAAAGATGCAAATTTTTAACCTTTTTTCTTTTAACCCTTTTGCAGCATGAATATCAATGGATGGGAATCTATGCTCTTTTTTGGAATCAATGCGGCTATAAGGTATACGGAATCCATTCTGCTTGGCTCATCGTTAAGAAGTAACAACTGTTGACTTTGATTTCTATTTTTCAATTTCAGTGTTCGAGTGTCGAATGAGCTTGGCCTAGGAAATCCACGAGCGGCCAAATATTCCGTCTATGCAACAGTTTTCCAGTCCCTTCTGATTGGGATTCTGTGCATGGTTATCATCCTTGTCACTAGGAACAACTTCAGTATAATTTTTACAGACAGCAAAGATATGCAACAAGCAGTTGCTCATCTTTCAGGCCTTCTTGGAATCACCATGGTTCTCAATAGTGTCCAACCAGTGATATCAGGTACTTTCTGTAATTTGTCATAAATTGTCAAAAAATGTAGGTACTGAAAAAACCTAATGATTTGTACGAGCGAATATTTGCAGGTGTTGCTGTGGGAGGTGGATGGCAAGCTTTGGTGGCATACATTAACTTGGCTTGTTACTACATTTTCGGTCTGCCGTTGGGATATGTTCTTGGTTATGTGGCTAATCTTGGAGTTGTGGTAAATAGACTTCATAAACTTTTTATAAACATTGCATACTTTGCAAGAGTAACTCCGTTTCTCATATCGATTTTGAATACTTGTGTTTTATTGCAGGGACTTTGGGGAGGCATGATTGCTGGAACAGCTTTGCAGACCTTGCTGCTCTTGCTGGTGCTCTACAAAACCAATTGGAAAAAAGAGGTTAGTTTTCGTATTTTTCAAGATGTTATTTTTCCTCGACGAATTCGTATTTCGTCGATGCAATTCAAGATCTGAACACATGAGTGATTCTTGATTTGGATTGAAGCTAAGAGAGGTTTTGTTGAACTGTGCAGGTTGAGCAGACTTCAGAAAGAATGAGAAAATGGGGAGGGCAAGAGATTAATGACAGTGAAAAAGTAGCTAATGTTTGATCAGCTTCTTCACATTGGACTAGTTTTTAATTATTTTGCCAATATTCTAACTTATTATGCATTTGTTTTAATGCTGCAAGAATTTTAGTTTCAAGGCAGAGGAATTTAGAGAAATTATTTCAAATGTCTGACATTATATAGTAGATTCAATAAATTCATCCAAAAACAAACATTAATTAATTAATTACTAAAGCTTTGGGCCACTGAACTCATCTGAAGCCCAAGAAGCAACCAAGTAAGAATTTCTATACAAACAAAATTAAATGCCTTCAAAAAATTAATAGTAAAACAAAAATGTAAATAATGTGCGTGCTCTGACTTCAATGGACATTAATATATGCAAATTGCAATCATGACCTCGGCTACTGCGACTTTCACGTTGAGCCCCTCCATATATCACCCCCACCACCGCCGCAGCCATGGAGGCGCCGCTGCTCGAGTCGACTTCCGGCGATCTCCAGCTGTTCGGGGATAACGGAGACTACCTGCCGGTGAAGGGGCTGAAGGCCTGGTGGAGAGTTGTCTGCGTAGAATCAGGGAAGCTATGGAGAATCGGCGGCCCGATAGCGTTTCAGATCGTCTGTCAGTACTCAACCGCCTCCGTCACCACCGTGTTCGTCGGCCATCTCGGAGATGTTGAACTCGCCGCCTTTTCTATTGCACTCTCTGTTGTCTGCACCTTCTCCTTCGGTTTCATGGTTAGTAATTTTATTCTAGCTTCTTTAGTTAACTTCATAATTAGGGTTTTGGTACTAGGTAGATTAATCAATTGATTCATGATTGGTAAGTACTAATTAGGAATCAAATTAAAGTTAATATGCATTAATTTGTGTACTGCAACAAATTACATGTATTGATTGTTCATCTCTGTCAAATGCATTTACAAAATTCAGGATTTCAGTTGTTAAAATTTACAAATTGGAAACTCTTGCAATAACATTTTTGTAGCTTGGAATGGGAAGTGCCCTAGAAACACTCTGCGGTCAAGCATTCGGCGCAGGTCAAGTCCACATGCTCGGCATTTACATGCAACGATCAATTATAATACTTCTATCGACCTGCATACTCGTTTCACCACTCTATATATTCGCCACCCCAATCCTCAAATTACTCGGTCAACGGGATGAAATAGCCGACTCTGCAGGAGTTTACACACTCATGGTTCTCCCTCAATTGTGTTCTCTAGCTATTGCTTTTCCCACCCAAAAATTCCTCCAAGCCCAGAGCAAAGTTTCCGTTCTTGCTTGGATCGCAGTATTTACTTTGGCTTCATTAACTTTCATGTGTTGGCTGTTTGTTTGCGTGTTCGGATGGGGTGCAGCTGGTGCAGCACTAGCCTTTGATCTGGCGAGTTGGGGCTCTGCGATTGGTCAATCCGTGTACGTGATTGGTTGGTGCAAGGATGGTTGGAAAGGGTTCACGTGGGCCGCATTTCGGGAGATTTGGGCCTTTGTGAGGCTGTCGTTTGCATCTGCCGTTATGTTATGTTTGGAGATTTGGTATATGATGAGTATTATTATCCTCACTGGCCATCTTGATAATGCCGTCACTGCCGTTGGTTCCCTTTCTATATGGTCCGAATAAATATATAATTCCGTCTCTCTCTCTCGGATTCTTAATTTTGTTAAATATAAATAGTTTACTGTCTTTGTTTTTGCGATTCAGCATGAACGTTGACAACTGGGAAGCCATGGTGTTCATGGGAGTCAATGCTGCTATCAGGTGAAAAGTTTTAATTATGGATCTCGATAAGCTGTTCTGCTTATCAACCTTGTTTTATCACAGTGTTCGTGTCTCGAACGAGCTTGGCATGGGACATCCGAGAGCAGCCAGATATTCGGTTTACGTTATTCTTTCCCAGTCCGTAATGATTGGGATTATTTGCATGATTGTCGTACTTGCTACTAGAAACCACATTTCCGTCATTTTTACTGATAGTGAAGATATGCGAAGGGGAGTTTCCCGCCTTTCCGGACTTCTTGGAATTACAATGCTTCTCAACAGTGTTCAGCCAGTCATATCAGGCACGTAATTATATTTCTGTCGAATTAATTAAACTCTTTAAGCCCAAATATCAATTAATTAACCCCCTTCCGCTAATTTACGACTTTATATATATATACATACGTATATGCAGGTGTGGCCATAGGAGGCGGATGGCAAGCGCTCGTAGCGTACATCAACTTAGCATGTTACTATGCTTTTGGTCTGCCTTTGGGATATCTTCTTGGTTACGTGGCTAATCTCGGAGTCGTGGTAGAATACGAATTTTTTCGATTACACTAAATGTGAAATTTGATTTTTTTTTTTTTGATTATTGTTAATAATTGCAGGGACTGTGGGGAGGAATGATAGCTGGAGTGGGATTGCAGACACTGCTGCTAATTGTGGTACTTTACAAAACCAACTGGAACAAGGAGGTCTGTGTTAATTGTTAATTAAATTAGCAGCTTATTTATTTATATATAAATAATCGTTAATTCAACTTGTTTTGTTTGTTTGTATATTAAATATTGGTTTAGGATTTTTTGTTGTCTTAATAAATAATCATTTGCAGGTTGAGCAAACAACAGAGCGCATGATGAAGTGGGGTGGTCAACTGCTCTGATACCATGTTAAGATTTACAATCATGGAATTTGGGGAACCGCCATTAACGGCTTAGAGAGGATGAAGAAGAACAGATATTTTATTCTGATTGTGGAGAAAAGTTTTACAAGTGAATTGAATACACGTCATATGTGATGTGTAATATATATAGCTATAAAGACTAACAACTAACTTAAAACTTAAAAGAGAAAGGCGTGTTTTACATAAACACGTCTTCTGTAAAACAATAAAAATAAAATAAAATAAAATATATATAAAAAGAGGAAAAATCTAATATGCTAATAGTCCACAATTTTCATTTCATTTTGGATGGTCCACAAAACAGATATTAAGAGTAATTACTGCTGCTAAACAGGTTTAAAGTTAAACAACATAAGTCTTAAAAAGATCTTTTTACCACTTTATTATATAGTAATTGTTTAATAATTTGTATAGATTTGGGAGCTTAATTTCTTTTTCATTTTTTATTTTTATTTTATTTTTGAATTGATCTTATTTAATAAAGTCAACTTGCTTTAACATGTTAAATAAATAATAAAATATCTGCAAGATTAAAAAAATAACAACCTTTTGTCACGTCTGTTTCTCAAGTCAACCTAACTTTTGTGTTTGTAAAATAAATAAATAAATAATTATATATGTATAAATACTTGTATAAATAAGTAGTCATTGTGAAAGAAATTAAGTTATCTTCTCCGCTGCTCCACCGCGACGCCGCCGCGAGAGTAAAAACATAATGGAGGCGCCGCTACTGGAACGGAGCTCCGGCGATATTAAGTTGATCGGAGAAGACGGAGACTACCTTCCGGTTGCCGGGCTGAGAGCATGGTGGAGAGTTTTCTGCATAGAATCAGTGAAGCTGTGGGCAATAGGTGGACCAATAGCGTTTCAGATCCTGTGCCAGTTCGGCACTAATTCGGTGGCTACGATATTCGTCGGCCACCTCGGAGATGTCGAACTCTCTGCTTTCTCCATTGCTATCTCTGTTGTCGGAACCTTTGCCTTCGGCTTCATGGTAAGTTCTCTTCTTATTTTCTCTCTCTACATATACTTTCTCTCTCTACTTTATTAATATATGTTTTAGCTGATCTAATGAAGTAGTGGTGATCTAATTAAGATCTTTCAAATCCGCGGAGGAGCGCCGGCGGGCCGGTGGTGGTGCAGTTTGAATTTTTATTTTTATTTTAAATTTAAATTAAAAAATAATTGAAGTAACACAAAAGCAATATAATATGTTGGTGAAATAAATCAACACTGGGTAGTTGAGATATAGGAGTTGAATACGATGCAAGATTATTTAATTATTAAATTACATTTACACCGACATTATTAATTTGTTGGAGAAAAATCTAACTTTGAACGAGTGGTTCCAGACGTGCCCAAGTGATCTGACTTACTCTTTTATTTTTATTTATTTTATTAATATATTTATTTTGATTTAATTCTATAAATAATGCATCGCGTTAATTAACTATTTTTATATTTATTCGCCAGCCGTAAACCATGGAAATCTTGTCACGTGCTGAAGAATGTTAGTTGATGAAAATTGAAATAATTAATGATTATGTAGTAATATTAAATGTTTGTGTGACCGAGATAAACGGTAGATTAATTAATTAAATAACAGTAGCAATTAAGAGTGGGCTCCATATACTCTGGTTTCGGACCTATGGCATTTAATGCTTATGTCACAGTACATGGTCCTCACTTTCTTCTCACCTGCTTTTTCAAATTACCATTTTACCCTTGACGCTCATTTCGAGTATAATAATAATTTAATTTTGTCTGACTTGATTATTCATTACTCCCTCGATTCCTAAATAGTTTCGTTAAGAATCTCAATAAAGATGTCTTTGATCTTAGGAAAATAGATGTTGTTAGACTATAATGACCTTGTTTACTAATTAATGCAGGAAGAGTGTTGGTGTTAAGAGAATTAACGAGGGCATAATTGAAAATATTTCTAAATTCACATATAATATCGAACATGAAAAAATCTCGAAAATTAACATATATTGTGCAACGGATGGATTATTTATTTTTATTTCTATAGTAACTTTTATCTTAAAAACGTATTTTAATTTGTAGCTCGGAATGGGAAGTGCGCTCGAAACGCTCTGCGGGCAAGCGTTCGGCGCGGGACAAGTCCACATGCTCGGCCTCTACATGCAACGCTCCATGATAATCCTATTCGCCACGTGCGTTCTCCTTCTTCCGCTCTACATATTCGCCACCCCAATCCTCAAACTCGTCGGCCAATCCGACGAAATCGCGTACCCCGCAGGATTCTTCACTCTTCTAACAATCCCGCAGCTATTCTCACTCGCCGTCGCTTTTCCGACGCAAAAATTCCTCCAATCGCAGAGCAAAGTCACCGTTCTTGCTTGTGTGGCGGCTTTCGCTATTCTTGCACAAACTCTATTTTGTTGGCTCTTTGTGAATGTGTTTGGGTGGGGAACCATCGGTGCAGCTATAGCATTCGATCTGACGAGCTGGATTACTGCAATCTCGCAGTTCGTGTACGTGGTTGGTTGGTGTAAGGATGGGTGGAAGGGGTTCACGTGGGCCGCATTTCAGGAGATTTGGGCCTTTGTTAGGCTGTCTCTTGCTTCTGCTGTTATGCTTTGTTTGGAGATTTGGTATATGATGAGCATTATTGTCCTCACCGGCAACCTCGCTAACGCTGTTACTGCCGTCGGATCCCTTGCTATCTGGTCAGCCATCTATTTATTATTTTTATTATTTTTTTTATAAATTCGATTTATGTGGCAAATTCTTGATATATGTTAATTAATCTTGATGTTTTTCAGCATGAACGTTGATGGATGGGAAACGATGGTGTTTATCGGAATCAATGCTGCTATAAGGTAATTAACAACACACACACACACACACACACATTACATGATTTGAATCGAGTAATTGATAAATGGTTATTTTTGTACCGTGTATGTATATGTATGTATATGCAGTGTTAGGGTATCGAACGAGCTAGGTCTGGGGCATCCAAGAGCAGCGAAATATTCGGTGTATGTGACGCTCTTTCAGTCGCTGTTGATCGGGATTTTATGTATGGTAGTTGTCCTAATAACAAGGGATTATATTGCGATTATTTTTACCGAGAGCCAAAATATGAGACGAGCAGTGGCTCACCTTTCGGGGCTTCTTGGAATCACTATGCTTCTTAACAGCATTCAGCCAGTTATATCCGGTATTATATAATATCCTCTCTTTCTTCAATAATTAGTTACAAAATTATATATTCTCCTGAATTTGTCTTTTGAGCACTGTGTGTGTGTCTGTCTGCAGGTGTTGCCATTGGAGGTGGTTGGCAAGCGCTCGTAGCGTACATCAACTTGGCTTGTTATTACGTATTTGGTCTACCGTTAGGATATTATCTTGGTTATGCTGCTAAACTTGGAGTTGTGGTAAGTAACTTCTTTCTCTGTGTGTGTGTGTGTGTGTGAGAGAGAGAGAGAGAGAGAGAGAGAGAGAGAGAGAGAGAGAGAGAGAGAGCAATTCTTGAAAGATTATCATGATAATTAGTATAAGAATGAATGTTTAATTACGTAATGATCAGGGAATATGGGGGGGCATGATTGCTGGAATAGCATTGCAGACAGTGCTGCTCTTCATCGTACTCTATAAAACCAACTGGAATAAAGAGGTTAGTTTTTAATGTTTAAAAAAAACTCGTATAACTTTTCGTAGTGCTTCTAACTAATCAAGAAACGGAAAACCCACAAAATTGCAGGTTGAGCAGACGACAGAGCGGATGAAGAAGTGGGGTGGCCAAGACAAGGCGATCGACAAATCATCGTACGAACAACTTCCAATAAAGAATGGAATTTATTAATAAATACAAGGATTATTTTTGTTCATGGTCCAAAGTTTAATTTTGTGTCAACTATTTTGTATACATGGGAGGGATTATATGTAGTTGGAAGATGCCGAATTTTGCTTCTGCTCCTATAAATTGAACATCCGTGAAATTAGTAGTTCACACGGATTTTTCGAACACTGAGATACGATTAACCATTTTTTTTCTTCTGTAGAATCAGTTAAATCTCGTTGAAATAGTTACGTTTTCGATTATGTTTCTGATTACATGTCCGAATTCGAATTCATTCGAACAAAGAACCCGTATCTACCTTGTGAAGATGATGATGACACCACTAGAGATCATAGTTTAGATTGAGATTAAATATTCAACCTAAATTTAATTAGGGATTTTTTTTTTCTCACTAATATTGCTTGTGCCTTCTAAACTAAGCCTAATTACATAAAGACTCCCTCAAATTTCTAAAATTACTCAAACATACCTTGAAATCTAATTTTGATCTAAGCAAAAATAAAAATAAAAAATTGAAAAATAGGGCTAAATTTACTGAGGTGTGGTGGTTCTTATTTTAATCGGCATGCGATAACCGCCAACGATAATAGCATGATCACGCTCGTAAGGTTCAAGAGTGACCTGCTCAACTGGTTTGAACCGATCTACCCTCAGCCTCTTCACTTCCACAGCAAACACGAGCTCGGCAGGTACTGTAGAGTCTATGCAATTTGCCTGGTAAATCAAAATTGGAATAAATCGTGTAATATTTCATGCGACAAAATTGGAAAACGAACACCACATCGAGAAGCTTGGATAGAAAATAAATATAACAATTATCACAAACCTTTACTGAAATCACAAAGTGGCCTCCGGCTTTCAAGAAGTACGACGCATTTAGAGCTAATATTCTTGCCTACAACGGAGAAATAGAAAAATAAACCGCACAAGAACATAAATTTCCTCTTACAGAGAAAAAAACACTCAACCTTCGGTTGTGCTTCCCATCTGATGTGGAAATCTGTTTCAACTTATTACTCGTAAAAAGGTTTGAACTGATTAACGTTAGTTAGTTTCGGCGAAATGTGCTACTTTATAGGAGTAGAAAATAAAAAAAACAGAATTCAAATAAAATCAACCAAGTTGAAAATAATGCATCAGAAACTCGGTTTTTACATCACCCGTGAAGTCTTGAAGGGGAATCCGAGTAATTCATCATCTGCTTCCTTAAAGAGACGAAGAAATAAAATGCAGAAACGAGCAGGAGAAGGAACAAGAAACGAAGTTTGTAAAACAAATAAATAAATATATTTATTAAATAAATAAAATGCAGAGCCAGCAAAAAGTAAGAAACACAAGAATAATATTGTCCGTTTACGTTTACGTTTGCTAAGAGAAAATCCAAACAGTTAGTTGAGTATAAAAGAAAGCAGACCTGGTCTGGTTGAGCAACGTCGGAAAATATGACATCGACCATGCCAACGAGCATTCTGTACTTGCCAGGGTATCTTGCATCTTCGATTATAGGTATAATATTAGTCCTCTTCTTCGCCAAATTCACCAAGTCTCTACCACTTCTATGAGAAAATTCAACTGCGTACACCACCCCACTCTGCAGCAAAGCAAATTAGAATCAAACACAACTCATTATTAAACTCCGAATTAAAAAAAAAAAAACAAAAAAAAAAAAAAAAAAAGCAACGTTAGAGACGAACAAGAGAGATTCTACTTACAGGGCCAACGATGTCTGAAACATGAGATACACTGGTTCCAGAAGCAGCTCCAAGGTAAAGGACAGAGGAGCCAGGTTTCTTGATCAAACGGGAAAATATATATTATAATACGTACTTTCTAATTTTATTTTAATATACAAAAAAGACGAACGCAAGACCAGAAGAGGGGAAATATGGTAAAAACTCACAATCCAAATTGTTTCGACTCCACTAAGGATTGCGGCAGCCAACTTAGAACGAAAAGGATTCCATACTATGTATTCTGTCTTCGTCCCATCTTCGTTCTGATTAAAGAATATTTATTAAGCGAAGTGGTGATGCAAGAAATAAATACGAAACTAATATAAACAGGCTCGATTTTAATCTGGTATACGCAATTCAATGAGCTAAACGAAGAAACTGCCACTTGAATAAAAGCAAACCCTGCAATCTCAATCAAAATTGTCGGAAAAATCGAACCTTTACACAAATTTACATGGTAATAAATCTAGCATACACAATCTCAGAACACATGTAACTAAAACCGAAACCGAAACCGAAACCGAACCTGAACCGAAACCCTCTTCTCATTGTAAACCGTCTCTCCAGGAACCATATTCTTAGTGCAAAGAGCATCATCTTTTCCCTTGGCGATGAAAACACCGGCATGCCTATGTGGCTCCACCACCACCTTGATTCCTCCCTTCATTCCTATTCTTCCGCCTCTGTTACCCCTTGCAGCACCTCTCCCGCCGCCTCTCTTCATCGCACCTCCTCCTCTGCTGCGGCCGCCGCCTCTTCCTCCTCCATCTCCTCTGTCTCCACTAAATCCACCGCCTCTGAACGGAGATGCTGCGACCATGGCTGCCGAGTGATGAATCGAATAAGAGTTAAATTAGCGTGCATGTACAATTACAACCATCCATAATAATACTTTGCCTATATTTCTAGGGTTTAGAGTTTTCAAGAGTTGCCTATATTAATTTCGAGGACCTGAACTTTTATAACTTTGCCTTTTTGACTGGTATAAGTTTAATATATCTACTTGCACCCCCTCATGTTATTTTAGTTTCAAACAATATTAATTAATTAAATGCAATATCTTAGGATATCTTGTTAGAATTTTATCAATTCTACTGTATATAAGTGATCACATAACTAAATTAATTTCATGTAGTATAATTGATTATAAAAAAATAAAAAAATAAAAAAATAAAAATAAATGACATGGCAACATCTCATTCATCATACAAAACAAAAACTTCATCAGTTGCAGTAACATAAATATTCTTTCTTTCGATACAACTAAAATTAACTGTCTCGAAAAGAACTAAAGTAATTTACCCAGGCCAAAAATCCTACATAACAAATGCCTTTTAAGAAACTCATGAATCAAAAGAAACTCGTGCCTTTTAGTAAATTCCGAACTAAAAATCGGTTGTGTTACAGAAGATGGCAGCCTCTAATTTAGCTTCTCTTATTGCAATGAAGAAACATCACCGACAAATGCTCTCTACGAGTGGATCCGTAAATGAAAAGAGTGCAAAGTAGTAGCGGTCAACGTTTGACCCATTGGAAGCTCTTCCTTGCTTTTGCTTTACCAGGTTTTTTCCTTTCCACGACTCTCGAGTCTCTTGTCAGAAAACCGGCTGCAAAAGAAAGACGGCAACTTTCAATGTTACAACTAGTTTCGGAGATACTTAATATGATCAAGAAACGAAAACATTTTTACCAAGTAAAAAATAAAAAGTCGGAAACATTAATGTGTTTCAGAAATCAAACCTTCTTTCAGAGGAGGGCGCAATCCCGGTTCCCACCTTTGCAGTGCTCTGCTAATGCCCAAACGAATTGCTCCAACTTGACCTGTAATAAGTCCCCTCGATTTTGTTAGTCTACATAAAACCAACATTACGACTTGCTAACACAAGAGCCTAATTGAAGAACAATGATCGACAATCAACAATCAAATAAGATGACGAGTTTCAAGGTAAGACATTGTACGGTTAATTGACAATTCATAAAAATGAAGTAACGTAACTTCTGCTGGCAAGATATGTTACACGTGACAGAGATGAAAACGAAAATAATTTTATACTGATCAAGAAACAAAATAAAGAAAGGAGTCAACATTATCTTAAAAGCTGTTTCAAAAGCTCTTGATCGAAACTGTAATGCTTGTAACACATCATTAATTTGAGAAAATATTTCAGGTCAGAAGTCAACGGTCAACTCCAATTTTCCATAATATAAAAATGCAATGAAACGAAGGGAAGTAGAATGTTTTAGTTGAAAGTCAACACTCACCTGAAGTCCCACCGCCTTTAACAGTGCAATTGACATCCCACATACCCAAAGTCTTTGTTTCAGAGAAAGGGCGAAGAAGAGCAGCACGGTGATCAAGCATAGGGAAATATACATCAAACTCTTTGTCGTTGACCACAAAATTTCCGCCACCTGGCTGAATCCAAACACGGGCTATGCTGCATTTCCTTCTTCCTGTACCGTAAGCCCTTCCCTTGTCGTCTACTTCTCTGACATGTGCGTTGGCCATATCTTCTTGCTTTTGCCGCTCCATTTCAGCTCTATTGGATCTTTTGCTATTCTTCTCGTAACGAATGTTTTCGATTTCGGATAGTGGGGGCAGTCCTTGAATCCCTTCAAAGTCCTTCAACGCAATCAAACTATCCAGCATCTCATCTGTTATCCCAGATGATGCTATAAGATCACCGAATGCTCGATTTGGGCCTGCAAAGATTCAGCAGAATATCAAACACGTGATTTTTTTTTCCAAAAAAAATTGTATGGATGACATGTGGATTAAAAATTTTACCAGGTCAGCAAACTTTTTTTTTTCTCAAGAAGGTTAAAGATTATAAGTCAAGAAAGAAGGAACTTCAACGTGTGAAAACAGAGTGGAATTACATAGCACACACAACAAGGACGAAAACATTATAATTTTTTTATTTTATCTTTATTTTTTGGCTCTGTCTTCATTCTTGTGAACTCCATGATAAATTTTCAGTTTCACCGAACTTTCTTGAACTTTCACAGGGTTACAGAAAATGCAGACCCCTCTATTCATATAATTGATTTTGTTTGGAAAGAAAATGGGCTACATATAACCGTGAAAGCATGATTGAAAAAATATAACAGCGTGTTAGCACGAACATTTGCTGAGAATTTGATCTGTATCCATAAATACCGCCTCTGTCCAAGGGTAAAGCATAATGTTCTTTCTCAATATATCCACGTTAGTGCTAGTCATCTTTAGGTTTTCGTTTACTGGTGTAATGCTTAAATGGGTTCAAAAGATCTATAATATGATCTGTCTTCTACACTAAGATGTTAAATCGGCAAGTAGTATTCAATAATCAAATATTGATTCTTCAATGACAACTAATTCAACTAAGCCAACAGGATAATATTTAGTTCGTGTCGTAATCTCATTTATGCTTCCTATTTTCATGTGTATTATTTTAACTATGAATGGAAATCTAATTTGGCGTTGCATGAAGTATTCACGAGGTGAACATGCGTAAGGACTTGACGCGGAGTTGCTACAGTTGCTGGTAATGTTTTGTTCTACGATTACATGTTTTTCTTCTCGACTCAATTGCAGAGTGATCGATTTAATATTATCCTGCATCAATTCCCTAGCCTTCATTCTCATCCTATTGGGTAACGGTCATGATTTTTTTTCTAAAAATTCTTCATTCGTGTTGAGAAACTCAATCTTTCTATGTTCATTAATTTGATGAGCAGAAACTCAAATCTTTTCTCTGATTCAATTAGAAGACAACGGAATTAAACAATCACAGTCATGAACGAATACAAATCACACACATAAACGAATACAAAGTGGGTCGATTAATTCACCTTTGAGTTCGGCAATTAAGGCCTTCTCCTCCGATTCAAGCTGCTTATTTTCCTCGTGCTTTTCGATCCCCGTCCCGATTCCGTCACTCAATCCACTGAGTTCCATTCCACCACTCTCTGCTACAATTCCAAACACATCCTCCGCTTCTTCCTTCCCCTTCGCCGGAAAACTCCACGGCTCATCATCTTCGGCCGCCGCACGTTCCCTATTTCCGCCGCCGCCGCCGCCGCCGCCATCATTCACCTCAAATCCACTAAAAGCATCGGTACCCCCAAAATCCCAACCTTCCCTTCCGACCCCACCACCAGATGATAGATCACCATTTCCCAGTACGCCGTCGTTTCGGGTTTCGATTCCTTTAAGATCTCCGGTCTCTACCCCAAAAACGGAGTCGATATCGTGGTCAACTTCCGATGATATTTTCCATAAATCCGTCGTCGAGGTAGCCGAATCATCGCCGGAGTTTCCATTTCTCCCGTTCGTGGAGAAGAACGACAAATGGGGATTTCTGGGAGGGAAATAGCGGTTGGGGATCGAAAATAAGGGTTCGGGAGTGATGGATTTCGAATTTACGAGGTGGGTCTGTGAGGAAACTAGGGTTAGCAAGCGATGAAACTGTGAAGACTTGGAGATGAAGCGAGAAAGCATTGTAAAACCCTGCAGATGGTGAGAAGAGCAGCTCCGGTTTTCTGTCGAACCGAATCAATTCAGAAGAGAGAGAGAGAGAGGGTTTTTGGATTAGCTAAAAATAAATAAAAAATTAATGGGCCTTTTTATTATGGGCCTTTTCGTTGATGTTTTTACCTTAATTCATGGGCTGGACTGCATCTTTCTCTTAGCCCATATATATCAATTTGGGTAAATTGCGGTCACCCACTGAGTTAATCCCAAATTACGAAAAATTCCTCATGTTTGGGTAATTACAACAACTCCCTTAACTATGAATTTGCTTACACGTCCATCCTTACGGTTTAAATGTAATAGAATTTTCTAAATTATATGGAATATTCTCCGATTTGTACCCGTTTTACCTCATTTTAACTCCACATTTTTTTTCAAACGAGATGATCATAAAATTTGTTACTTGGCTCGTAAAGATTAAATTGCGGTGCTTGAGATTGTAAATATTAGATTGGGTAGTTGTAATTTACCAAAACATGATGGATTTTTCGTATTTTAACCTTACATCAAGGGGTGCCCGTAATTTACTATTTCTAATATATTACATGGTCATTTTTATTAGAAAAAATAAAAATCTTCATTTTTTGACTTTATTATTTTTCTTTTTTTGCTTTTGATTTTTCAATCACATAACTTTTTTACTAAATAAAAAAATAAAAAATATTTATTGAGCAATTAATGTAAACATAGACTTGTCCATCTTCTTCACTAAGAAAGGAATCACCCTCCCCTCCCCTCATTATCCACGCCTTTGGATATTCCCTCCTCGATTAATTAATTACTCCCTAGTCCCTAATCCCAACCCACCTACTCAATTTATTGACTAATATACCCTTATTCTTTTCTTCCCCCTCTTCCTTTTCATGATACAGGTAGGATGCAAATGCATTCTTTTTGCATTATAATTACATTGAAAAAAAGGAAAAATTACATAGGGTACATTAGTCTTTTACTAAAATAAATCTGCTTGCACCTTCTAGAAAGTATCAACCATATTTAAGAAGAACCTAGCACAATCGATATTTTCAAATTTTCATTTCCAATAGACTCTATATAAATAAATAAGCACCAAACGAAACCCTAAAATCTGCATTTCATCATCTTCTTCCCCAAAAAAATCCCAAATACTTCTGTGATTTTTGAATTTTTCAATGGGAACGCGCTACGAGGTCGAAATCACCATAACCTCCGCCAAGGACCTCAAAAACGTCAACTGGCGCCACGGCAAGCTCAAGCCGTACGCCGTCGTATGGGTCGACCCCAAGAGCAAGTGCTCCACACGCGTCGACGATGAAGGCGACGCCTCCCCCTTCTGGGACGAAAAGCTGACCATCCCCTTCAACTCCCCCGTCGACGAATCCACTCTCTACATCGACATCGTCCACGCCAACTGTTGAGGTGCAAACAATGTCCCACATCGGTTAAATATGGGAAAGATCTATGGTTTATATAGAGGGGATAGCAACTCCATTGGTATGAGGCCTTTTGGGGAAACCCAAGAGCAAAACCAGTTGGGCCCGGCCCAGTCTGGACAATATCATACCAATGTGGAGTTTGTGCTATCCCGGCGGGGGCCCAACAGTGGTATCAGAGCCATGGCCCAGACCTAACCATGTGGTGGAAATTGCCGGAATCTGTGTGAAATTCCCGAATCCTCGGTGCCGAACAAAAATGGTGAGCTCCCGGTGCGCAAATGGAGGCGGCTCAACGAGCTCCAGGTGGGAGGCTCGGGGATCCTTTGTGTGGTCCGACCTATGTGGTCCTTTGTTCGAAAGGCTTGGTGCGCGGAACAAAGATGGTGTTGAGCCCAGGGCGCAACTTAAGGGGAGGCTCGGTGGTCCTTTGTGGTCCGACCTATGTGGTCCTTTGTTCGAGGGGAGGATTGTTGAGGTGCAAACAATGTCCCACATCGGTTAAATATGGGAAAGATCTATGGTTTATATAGAGGGGATAGCAACTCCATTGGTATGAGGCCTTTTGGGGAAACCCAAGAGCAAAACCAGTTGGGCCCGGCCCAGTCTGGACAATATCATACCAATGTGGAGTTTGTGCTATCCCGGCGGGGGCCCAACACCAACGCCGCCGACGGCACCAAGCCCCTCATCGGCTCCGCCAAGCTCCCCCTCCGCGACGTGGTCGACGACGTCGGATTGGGGATCCGATCAGAGATGAAGCTCGAGCTCAAACGCCCCTCCGGCCGGCCCCAGGGGAAGGTTGAGATCAACGTCATCGTACGCGATCTCGGATTCCACGCGCCGCCGGAACCATATTACGCGCCGCCGTACGGTGTGCCTCCTCCTGGAACCAGGGATTATCCGGCACCGCCGTATGGGAGCGGCTACGTAGCGCAGCCGGCCTACGTGGCTCCGCCTTATGGATCTCAGCCGGCTTACGCGGCTCCGCCGTATGCGAGCCCCTACGGAGCGCCGCCGGCTTACGCGGCTCCGCCGTCAGGGTACCTCGCATACGGCGCGCCGCCGAGTTATTCGCAACAAAGTTACGGGCAGGGTGGTTACTACGGGCAAGGGCAGCAGCAGGGATACGTGGAGGGGGAGAAGAAGAAGAATAAATTCGGGGGAATGGGTACGGGATTGGCTGTGGGTGCGGTTGCAGGGGCGTTGGGTGGACTCGCACTCGCGGAGGGATTCGATGCTCTCGAGGACAAGATCGCCGATGACGTGGCGGACAAAGTAGAGGCTGATTATGGTGATGATGATGGAGATGATTACTAGACTCCGGTTCGCCATCTCATTCGAACCGAACCGGATCTGTTTTCAATTTCATATTATTTTTCTTTTTTAATTTAATTCGAGTTTCGTGATGTGGCCTTTATATTACATAAATGCCCTTTTGCTATTGTTAACGAACATTGAGGCCCAATGAATTCAAACCCGACAACGTCTTTATATATAATTATCATTAAAGCCCACTTCAATTTAATCCAAGTAATATAATGAAAATAAATATATATATTTTTATGTTTCTTTAATTTTTTATTCATTAAAAAGCCTGTAAAAGGCCCAATTAGGCTACCATTTCATTATCAGTTCAAATAATTATTGTTTCAGTCCAAATTAGACTTCATGGTACACATCATTAGTCACAGATGAGTTATTATTAACATTTAATCAGGGAAGAAAAAATAATAAAACAATGCTGATGTCATCACCTTATCATCGTTCATCATCTCCATATATATAAATAAAATATAATCCATGTATCTTTTGTTTTCTTTCTAAGATACAAATAGAGACAATATAATATATTCTCTCATTGTTAGTTTAATTTGATGACAAGCATGAAATTGAAAACTTCATTTACTTCTAAGAAAAGCAATTAAAATTTTCTAAGGCACATATATAAATATAAGAACGTATATTAATACATAATATACTTGCGCTCCCTTAGCTTCTTCACAAATTGGTAGCCAATTAAGCTATTTTCGGAGAAAACAGCAATGAAGATCATCAAGAAGTTTTTCGCATGCACCGGTACAAAATCGAAACAATTACATAATTATAATCTCAATTTTTATTATTTTTTTCTTTCTTTTTTCTCCTAATATTTCTTCGTTTTATGCCGTATTAATGCATGCAGTGACCCAAATGGACGATCCGAACCCGGAAACTCCGAACCTCCGAGAAGAATACGCTAACGCATTTCGGACCGAATCTTATAACGATTTCTGGTCAAACGTTCTTGCCCTAAACAAAGGGGTTCTTACTACCCACAGAAGCCTCGGCTCGACCACCGCGGCTCGTCTCCCATCCTATCGGCTCTTTGCCGAGCATCTCTTGGATCCGGATCAGTCGACGGTAGCACGGATCTTGGGTTTGACCCGAACCCATCCGAAGATTTCTTCCCTCATGACCGATTACTTTACCAACACGTCGGATGCTTCTCATTTATGTGGGTTACTTCTCAAAGATATCGACCGCATGAGGAGACGGTACAAATCCGTTAAAGACCCGTCTCAAAACGGGTCGGGTCAAGAAACAAACCATTTGCCCATTGTACTGACCCGAATGACCATATTCTCAAGGTCCAACCCGTTTTGCCCGTTGGCCCCATCCATGAGCCGTTTCCAAGCCGTGCAGAGCAGCTCATCCAGCTTGCTCAAGAAGCTCGAGCTGCGCCGCGACAAGACACATGCCAAAATGCGCCGGCTCAAGAAGCTCAAGTTCGGCTCGGCTGTGTTCCTCGTGGCTCTAACGGCTTCCCTGCTGGTGATTGTTGCGGCTCACGCCCTTGTATTGCTGGTGGCTGCGCCGGGTGTGATGACGGCTTCACTCGAGCTGATTTCAATAGAGAAGCTGGCTAGGTGGTCGGCTCAGCTCGACGCGGCGGCTAAAGGGACGTACATACTGATCAGAGACTTGGACACCATAAGTCGTCTGGTGACTCGGCTAAACAACGAGCTGGAACATGTTGAAGCTCTGATGAAGCTGTGGCTAGAGAGAGGGGATGATCGGCTCCAAGCCAGTGAAGAAGTGGCTTGCCAGCTGAAGAAAAATGACCAGAGCTTCGTTGAACAGCTTGATGAGCTGGAAGAGCATTTATACCTATGTTTTATGACCATCAATAGAGCTAGAAACCTTGTCACTAAAGAAATTATAGTTCTCCCTCCTTGAAATTATTCAACACAAATATATAATTATTCATGTCACACTATATAATATATATAATTCATATTGAAATAATTTAAACGAGAATGAAATTTATCCAATGCATACACGTGGCGTTGCAAATTTCTTTGTCAACCAGAAAAAAATGTGAATTGTGACAAGATAATCAATTAGTTGATCTATGGTATTTTCTTATAACTAGTTACGTCATAAAGCTCGAGCTCGAAAAACTCGAGTTTGAGTTCGAGCTTTTTTCGAGTCATCTCATGTTTACCTAGAAATAACCATATAAACATATGAATTAATTTGAACGACTACTATAAATCGCAATAATGAATGAATCATAAAGG